TAATTTATTTTAATTTTAAAATTTTCCAACTTCTTTTTAGAAATTGGACCAACTAAAATTCCGAAATTGTAATTTTTCGAAAATGTTAAGGGAACTTATTATTTAAAGGTTATGTTAGTCTAAATGGTCGCTCGGAGTAAATGAAAAAAATATTTACATTCTTACACCAACCTTTCGAGGTCAAGCAAAAAGTTGCAAATGTGTGTTGCTGTTGCAACACAGTTGCACACACAACAGCCATAGAGTCGACTAAGCTTGTTGCCATGCACTCGGCTGACCGGAGTGCAGCGGAGGTCCGTAAGGTCCATAAACGGTCACCTTGCCCAAATAGCTGACCTCCAAAGGTCAAGGGTTGACCTTTGACCCTATTATGGTGTATATTCGGACTCGTGAGGTCCGCAGCTTTCCAAAAATATACGGTTTGTGGGGTTTCGAGCGAAAAAGTGCACTGACCTTTGACCTCGGTTCCGGTCGAACCAGGTCACTTAGGGCTTAGGGACCAATACATTTTTTGATAAGCACCTCGAGGTGTACAACATATCAAAATTTGGGGCAAATATCACGGGGGGGGGGTGGATTTTCTCATAAGAAGGGTGCGTCCTCCTTGCCTTACTTTTTGACGCTATTCTTATACACTTTGTAAATTTATTAACTCTTCCCCATCAGAAACGGTACTCACTTTACCCACGCTAATTAATCCAGCATTTTATAATTGCTAAAAAAATTTCGGCCGAATTTTTAATTCAAAGATTATCATCATTTTAACCTACTTCGATTTCCGGTCAGAGTAAGAGTACTTTTACATAGCAAAATTCACGATTCGCGTCAAATTCAAAAATTGTTCGGTGCAGAAATAAAAAAATATAAACTCCAAAAATTACTAAAAATTTTTATTCACAAAGAATGATAGACCATCACCATATACGTCAAAATATCCGTACAATGAATAATAACATACTTTACATTAAATTACTTTTACTGGGGTTCAAATGTTACAATTATTTTTCCATTAAACAAATTAAAATTCTGTCTTTAATCCACTTTTTTATGAAATTGTATGTTCAAATCGAGCTTAAATATTTTTTATGTGGAGGGGACGAACCGCTTCTATCCAATGCAAAAATTATGTAAAATACAAAAAATTTTGGGTGCCGAAATAAAAAAAACCTACAGTGCAGACTCCGAGTAAGAGTTCTAAATTTTTCTCTGAATAATATTACCGAACTCCGTTAATAGTTTAATGTTTATTAGATTTTCTACCATTTGGCATCAAATCCTTTAACATCTTCATCTTCCAAAGCTGTGTGTGCTATCCAGAAGTGGTTTTTATCCCCCATACCAAATTTCAGATGGAAATAAAAACGGAATGGGTCAGCCTCTAGGTCACTCTGGTTGCACGTTGCTCACTTCTAACTTGATATTCTTTCATAAGAAGCCCTTAACAATGGAACTTTTTTTTCAAGCTACAGCCGGATTGCCTAACGAGTTATATCCAAAAATCAAGCCAAAAATTAGGAATCGATCATTCTGTTGAATGGCTCAAATATTGGCAGCAAAGTTCAATTGTTTAATAAATTTTCTCTTGCCTTCTCTCCCGTAAAAATTGAAATAATAGCCGTTGCTCAAATAGGAAGTAGCCGTGCATTTTTTCATAATTTGATAAATAATGACCTTGTCCAAATAGTAGCCATGCCCAAATACTTACAATAGAACCTGTTTTCATGCTACACCGGGATTGTGTAGCGAGTTATAAAATCAAGCCAAGGGTCGTTTCTTATATTTTGTAAATTTAAAATTATAAAATACATTAAAATTAGCATTTTTAAAGTTAATGAGACATGCAATAAGATGAAAAATATGTGGTAAACTTTTTCTCAGAGCTGAGAAGTAACTATATGGAAAAATTAATAAAATTATTGAGGGAACTCACGTCAAAGTTTATATAACCTTCGTAATTGTGTAAGGTTTGTAAGCTTACAATCTTTTAAGAACTTTTGACTTACGAACTTTTACAAAACTGATGTACAAACTGCAAACGCATGTTTTTGGTTCCTAAACAAAAGTTCATAAATAATTCGAATATTTGATATTTGTGTTTTCAGTTGAAATCAAGGTTAATAACCTTGATTTCAACTGAAAACTTCTAATACGCATATTATTCGTATGAGAAGTTTTTTGTAAAAAAAGTATTTACGAAAAATGACAAAGTCAACTCACGTCAAAAATGTGTAAACTTACAAACATAACACACTTACCTACATAGATACAAACTTGATGTGAAGTCCGTCATCCAGATATTTTCATCCATCATCCATCCATTTTCATCCAGATAAATAGTCCTTTGTTCAAAATTACGGTTTTTATGTAAAATTTTGGTGTCAAGCTTCCTGCAAATTGGTTTTTATAGATGACACCGAAATAAATTAATCTATACAACATTTGGTTTCTTTATATTGACAATTTTTACAAATGGAATTACAATTGTAATTTAAACTTCTATGTACATAATTTCCAATTAACATTCGAATTTTGGATCTACTTTATTAATTTTACAGCCAGTCTGTATTTGCAGATTTTTGTGAACGGAACCAAAATCATGCTACGATGTTACATTATTTCAAAATTTGTAAATTGTAAAACTCAAAATATGAAGTAAGTGTATATTTCGAAAAATCCGATTTTTAAAAGTTCACTCATATTTCGTCAATTTCAAATTATAAAGTACTTCACATTTGTATGTGACACGTGAGAAAAAATATGTAAACTAAAATGTAAAGATTTAAAAATATGAAATTTTCACTCAGAGCTAATTGCAAGAAGTGCATGAATTGTATAAAATTCGTGAAATTCATAATTGTTTGCATGAAAAAAAACTCTATTCAAAATGATACTTATGCAAATTTTTACTATTAAATTTCGTGAAAACTTGATTTCATTTATTCCACAATAAAAATAATTACAAAAAATAACAATTTTTACATCGATCTCATTACAGGTATTACTCCAGGTTTTTGGGGGTAGTGGGTTTTGCGAGTTTTGGTGGGTTTTGAATTTGAGCAATACCCACGGGTAGTCAAATTTTATAAGTATGATATCAGGGCTTTCAATGATAACAGGTCTAACAATTCCACAATTTTATGTTATGAAAATAAAATTAATAAGCAGCATTGTTGCGAAATTGCTGAAAAAGCAGAATGTTCTCACAACTTAAAACATGAGAGAATGACTCAGTTTACCCCCAAAACCCCGACCACACCTACTATTCGCAAAACCCCTGGGTTTACCTATCATAAAATGGGTTTTCAATTCAATAGCAAAACCTCGGGGTTTTATTACCTTGCTCATTTATCTAAATGCAACATTTATAAATTAAAATTCCTCAAAATCTTTGTCTGGAGTTGGAATGTTATAATTTTGTTCTCCATTAAACCAAATCCTAACTCAAAAGTGTGTAATTGTAAACTTTGCTCAGAAATTAATGTACATAATTTACATAAAATTATTTTGTAGTAACAAAATTCACATCACTAAACCTAAAATTTCAAATTAATCACTAAATCTGCAAAATTTTAACAAACGACCTCAAACGTTTGTATACCTTAATTTCCTGAATTGCTACAAACTTAAGAACAATATCAAGTTGCCTACGCCAAACTTAAATAGTGAATCAATTCACTATTGCATCATTTCCTACTCCGATATTTCCCGTCTGAAGGAAGGGGAGCTCATAGAAAAATTAGTCACGTTTCACATCAAGTTTAAAAATTGTTATGTGCTGAAAATAAAAATTTCAAAAATTTCGAAATTTCAAAATACTAATCATCGTCTCAATTGTCAACATGAATGCAACCCATCTACAAAATCAAAACTAAAATATTTTACCTTCAAACTTTTTTTCAATGCCGTTGAAATGTTACAATTATTTTCCCACTAATGACTAATCCAAAAAAAACTCCTGCCTTTTTCATTGGCTTACTTCAAATTTTATCGAATTTTTAATGAAATGTTGTGCAAATCGAGTTCAAATATTTTTAACCTACTTTGATTTCTGGTGAGAGTGAGAGTACTTTTACATATAAAATTCTCGATTCTCGTCAAATTCAAAAATTGTTCGGTGCAGAAATAAAAAAATAAGCTTTCAAAATTACGAAAAATCTCCAATTGTACTAAGAAATAATGGATCATACACATTAAAATATCTGTATAGAAAGTATAAACCTATTTTGCATAGATCAAATTTTTTTTCCTGGGGTTCAAATGGTACAATTATTTCTCTATTAAACGAATAAAAATCCTGCCTTTAATCCAATTTTGTGTGAAATTTTATGTTCAAATCGAGTTCAAATATTTTTTATGTGGAGGGGACGAATCGCTTCTATACAAATGCAAAAATTATGTAAAATGCAAAAAAAAATTCGGTGCCGAAAAAAATATAAGTTTCCGAAGTTACGAAAATATCATAACCTAAGATTTTACAAGAAATAAATCTCAATTACCAGTTCAAATTATTATCATTCAAATTTTTTTTTACTGGAATTCAAATGTAACAATTATGTTCCCATTAAACGAAATTCTTAATGGGCTTCCCTTTTATCTAATTTTGTTTATCAAATGTTCTTCACTCTACATCACACACGCACGCACCGGAAGTGGAACCACGCCCAATAATATGTCCAATTTTTCATTTTCAATGAATCATCACCACCACATTTTTTAAAAATATTTACGAATATCTAAAAATATTTACGAATTTTGCAAACAATGAGAGCAAGATTAAATACATATCCATCCATGCATCCCCTTTATCCAAATTTACGACATTCGCCAGACAAAATTTAAGGTATTTATTGTTGCATAAAAAATTCTACTTTACATACATATTACAAGATCTAGTTAGTAAATTCAACTTACTATCAAAGTACTAAATAGTATAGTTGTACTTTGTTCATGACTGAGTCTTGACAAGTTTGCATGCACGCAAAGCCACACGCATGGATTTATCGATCGAATTTGTCCAGCTGCTTTCTCTTTGATTTCTCTTCTTCGCTTGATTTGTTTGTAAATTCTTCCCTTCATTTAATTCAAAGTATGGAATAAATCTTTTTTTTTTAATAATCCTGAAATGGCTACCATTTCCTTGGATAAAATCTCTTCCTCCTGCGAAACGGCTTTAAAGAATCATTTGGTTAGAGAAGAACACAGAATTTATTAACCTAGATCTCGCTGACTCGTCACCAAAATCCTCAAAATCAACACATTTTTAATCATTTCTCGGCTCTGGGAACTTATTTTAAAATTCTGGACGACGTGGTGTAAGGTGATTAATAGAACGGCAGTGAATTTTTTCAGCCAGTTTCCACGAGTTCCAATAATTTTTCTGGAGGCTCAAACTTGAGATGTCCTCCTTAAAAATGTGGCAAAATCTAAGGTATATTTGTTACAAAATTGACAACGACTTGCTCTACATAGTTGTCCAGAAATTTAAAATAAGTACAAAGCGAGTGATTACTAATATGTTGGTTTAGACGATTTTGGCAATGAGTCATTCATATGTTAAATACTTTTTCAATTTATTCTATCATTTGAAATTATGCAGATTCTGTCCAGAATTTTCCAGTATTTGGACCTCACCTCACTAAAAGCTGTCCGACTTGTGTGCAAAAATTGGGATGTCGAAGCTATCAAAAAGTTTCGAAATTTCGACATTATCATCCGTTTAGAGCCTCCGTTCGAGTCAGAAAAATGGGAACATTTGCAACGCTTGCTCAACCTCCGGGACGACTTTCACCCCATTCTTTTCCTCTCTTTCCAGTCCCCTGCGTGGGTCTACTATTCCTTGATATCACAATTCGGAGCGTTCGAATTTGAGAATGAAAACTTCCAAAAAGTTTGGGCAACTTTAAACGATGTTTTAAATTCAAATTTTGAGCCACGTCAAACTTCGTGTGACTTTCGAGTTTTTGAATTATTGACTCAAATTGGAGTTTGCGTGAGGGAATTAAGACTTGAATTGACCCTTCTGAATGAAACAGATGCGGAATATGTGGTCCAGCTCTTATCTGCGTTCCCAAACCTGGAAAAGTTTTACCTGGATATTGTCGACGTTGGGGATGAGGGGCTTCTTGGTTTTCCGTTGATAACCACACCCCCCGATAACTCAACGCCGACGGGTTTCCTTCCACCATCCCTGGTCACACTTGGACTACGGATATATGGGGTAAGTAATTATTTACTGGGTAACAGTATTCCGGTTTACTTTTACACACGTAAAACTAGTTTTGGACTAGACTAAAGGCTTCCAAAATTGACTCAACGCACGATAATATGACACAACCAATATTGACTCCAATTATTTTTCACAAAATGTAATGGCACAATGTGGTTTCGTAACCATACCTGTTCAAAAATTTAGTATTCATTCAAGTCAGTCATCCTGATTTCTGCCTGTGAATTTTCATTTACATTCAGTCAGTTTCGTTCAAATTCATTTCATTTCATATCACTTCATCTGACTTCATTTCTTCCTTCTCCCCAAGTATGTATTAAGCATAGGCTGAAAAATGAAATGAGTTAGGAATCCCTTCATTTACAGTCATTCATATGAAATGACGAAATCTTTCAGTTATTTAAATCACAGGAAATTCATTTTCACTCATTATCCCTCACCATCATTATGACTCAAACGAATGAAAGTGAACAGGTATGAGTGCACCCTTAACAAAAATTCCACTTTATTAGGAGCCAGATGAGGATGATAGTCATATCACTGTTGGTGGACTCAAATGAATGAAAGTGAACAGGTATGAGTGAGTGCACCCTTAACAAAAACATTTTCTGCAATCCATTTTATTAGGAGCCAGATGAGGATGAAAGTCATATCACTGTAGGCGGTCATGGCGTATCCCTGGATGCGGTCACCCATTTTATGAAAACTTGTTCCATTTCTAACATACAGCTCTTGGATTTCGAAGGATGGGCCTATCAAGATCTGCTTCCTCAAGATGAGGTCGTAAAAATGATGTGGATGACTGCAATTTAAAAAATTATGAACCAGGAACCCAACCCATTCCCTAAATTGAATGGAATTCGGGTAGGATGGCACCCTCGTGATGAAGACGAGATCACGGAACCTCAGGTCAGTGTTTCGTTTAAACCCGAAATGCGACTCACATTTTTTCCAGTGCAGAGCAATAAACACAAGAAATTACTCCCAGAATCTGCAAAATTTCAATTGATAGAGTAAATTGAAAATAATTCAACATATTGAATTATTTTCAATTTATTATCAATTTTTCAAGCTGCGTCCGCATCTTGTGGGTTTGTTACATTTCTTGCATGATGGTGCAAGAAACCCAATGCCTCGTAACACCATAGTTAAATTGGAGACTCGATCAAAACGGATGAAGAGGAGCGCTCTGACAGAGAAAATAATAACTATCACAGAACCCGAGACACAATTTGAGGCTGGATGAAAAGAAGGCCTGTGTCCTATATGTGGCGTGCAAGTTCGCTATATCAGTTTCTATAGGACACAGTCGCCACCACTCAGGCACTGGCCTGAACTTATCCCCCTTACTCTATTAACAAAGAGCTCTCGTCGCTTCATTCTTATACATCCATGAAGAAACCGCAAGAAATACGCACGCGCCATCTAATGAAGTATGGCGGCGAGAAATAGTTTCTAGCGCCTTGCATTTCTTACAGATCGAAATACCTAGAAAAACCCACTTTCTTACCATTATTTCTTGCAAGTGGTTACTTATAATAGCTCCCGAAACATTGTTTCAGATACACAATCTGGCTTCCCTCCCAAGATCAATGACTCATCTCGACTTAAATGCCTATATAACTGGGGACCAATTACACCAAATCTTGAGGCAGCACGCGACCATCCTGCGCACCTTGGACCTCACTTATTTAGAAAATTTGGGTCCACTCAACTCCTTGCGGTTTCCCCTCCTCACAACATTCGAGGTGGATATTTGCCATGAATTCTCCAAAATTCGAGTCATGTTTCTGGTTAGAAATTTTTTACAATTCACGCGGTAACATTGGAAAATCCGTAAATTCTGTAAATTTACAAAAATTTTACAAATATTCCTGAAAAAAATTGGCTTACAAATTTTGTAAACTTACTCCGATCAAGGGCGTCTCTCTATTTTGTAAAAGTTTGCAAAATTATTTTACAAAAATTACAGATTTTCACAATATTACCAAAGAATAATTAAGCACAAGTTCCAAATTATTTAAGCAATTGCATACAAAATGGTTTTCTTGGAAAAAGTAGTACTTATTAATTACTTGTAAAACATATCCAACGTTTCTTTTAAACTCTGTGTTCGAAATTTAAAACTCAAAATCCGAAATGAGAATTTTTGAAAAATTTTAATTCTACTTGTAATTTATAGATGATGATGGGAATCTGGATCAAATTACAGTTCAATTTAAGTTTTTTTTTCAAGTGAAATGTTTCAAAATTTTACACATTATTTCACCAGCTATTTTTACGGCCGAGTTAACCTTAATTTTTTTGTAATTCGCTTTAATCGTAAAATTTGTCAACTTTTAAAAAATAAATATGTCCAACTACAATTCCGAAGTGATAATTTTTGAATAATTGTAAACGTATTTATAATTTTAAGATTTTTATTTCCAGATCATTCAATTAGTTTTGTTTAATTCAAATGTTTACAAAAATTTTACACATTTATGCAAGAATTTTATAATGATTTTTAGAGTAGAGTTATATGACCCGATTTTTTAGTAATTCATTTTAACATTTCTTTTTCATTGTCACACTTCTTTTTAGAAATTTGTTCAACTAAATTTCCGAAGTGATAATTTCTAAAAATTTTTAATTTATTTATAACATTCAGATTTTCATGTCCCGAACAAACAACTTCAAAATTCAGATGTTTAAAATTGTTGGCATGAATTTGATGTGTCTTGATTTTCCTTTGTTCAGAATGGACCTCAATCTTTCCAGCGAACTTTCCCTTCTCTCTCCACCATCGGAGTATTTACTTCCTTGGAGAAACCCGAAGTTTGGGAGGATATTTTTCCGAGGGAGAATTCTTCCGGGGAACGGTTGGAATTTCGGCAGATAAAAGTTTTAAATATTTCGCTCAAAGTGGATGATCGTGACGATGATAAGCAAGAAGATAACCACTGCTTGTCCCAACCCCAAATTATCAGAATTTTGGCCATTTTTCCATCTCTGCATACTTTACGACACATCCGAAAGAGAACGTCCGACGGGGTTTTATTCGTTTGTCGGCATGTTCGAAGAAGTGATGTCGTGTGGTCAACGGCAGCGAAAACGTGGCGTGGTCGAGGCGGTCAAGAATTTTTGAGTGAGGGTAAACGAATCAGTAGGTTTTTCACGCCACGCTTGAGATACTTGTTAATGAAGTCGCATGAATCTCAGGGTTTTGAGTGGTATTGAATTAAAGTTATTAAGATATTAATTAATTTGTGTTCAAACTGAATAAAATTTATGCAAATGATATAAATTATCGCTTTAATTTCAAATATGGTTCCCATTAAAAAATAATTTTTAAAATTCCAAAATTTTTTTCAATTTTTACTTCATCTTTTAACTTTACAAAACAAAATTTTACAAATATGTTGAAGGAAAATTAGCTTACAAATTTTTGCAAATTCTTCGATCAAGGGCGTCTCTGTATTTTGTAAAGTTTGTAAAATTATTTTACAAATGCATGGATGCTTTTACAAAGTTTCCAATGGCTTCGTGATTTGTCTCAATTTGTGTCCAACAAGTGGAATTAAATGGGCAAATTTTTACGTGATTTGTTTCTTATTGTTAACCCAGGTTTCGAAAAATGTCATCGCTTTAACCTACTCCTATTTCCTGTCAGAGTAAGAGCAGTTTTTCATAGTAAAATTATTCACGATTCAAATCAGATTTAAAAATTGTTTGATGCAGAAACAAAAAATAACTTTTCGAAATTACGACATATCATAATTTCAATTCTTAAAACAATTGTATCGTATCTAGAAATACACTAAAATATTTACACATTATTTCAACAGTTTATTAATTATTTTTAGCGTCTCAAAAATTGTAGGTAACTTAATTTAATTTTAAAATTGTAGGTAACTTATTTTAATTTTAAAATTGTTCAAGATTTGTCCAACTAAAATTCCAAAATAAAAAAGTTTTGTGAAAATTTTAAATAGAAATATAATTCAAAGATAATGTTTGCAGAATGACAAATAATAATTTCGTAGGACTGCAACAAATTAAAGTATTTTCAAGATGTTACACTTTACACTCATCTTGTAATAAAATCCTGTAAAATCTTGTAAAAGAAGTGATATTTTTTTGAAAATTCTAAAACGATTGATTATGTATAGATATGGCAGGAAAGAAATGGAATTCATTATAGGTAATTCAATTTATCTTTCTTAATTTTCCAAAATTTTACACATTATTTCTACAGTTTTCTAATTATTGTTAGGGTCGAATTAACCCGAAAACTGTTTTTTTGTAATTTATTTTAATTTTTAAATTCTCCAATTTCTTTGTAGGAATTTAACAAACTAAGATTCCGAAATGATAATTTTTCAAAAATTTGAAGCGAAGTTATTATTTAAAGGTTAACCCAAGCAAAATATCTGGGGCAATTGAGCAAATTAAATTATATTAAAATTTACTTTCACACCCACCTTGTAAAGTCCGTAAATTTTGTAAACTTTCAAACTTTTACAAATATTTCAAAGGAAAATTAGCTCTTTGTAAACTTGCTCTGATTAAGGGCGTGTATTTATTTTGTAAAATTATTTTACGAAACGCACGTGTTACCAACGATTTTTGTGAATTTCCTTATTTTTATGACGCTATTTTTGTATAAACTTTGTAAATTTAGTAACTCTTGTCCAGTCAGAAATGTTTCCCATTTTACACACGCTAACTAATCCAACTTTTTATAATTGCAAAAAATATTTCGACCAAATTTTGAACTCGAAGATTACCATCATTTTAAACTACTCCGATTTCTTGTCGGAGTGAGAGCACTTTTTCATAGTAAAATTCACGATTCACGTCAAATTCAAAACTTGTTCGGTGCAGAAATTTAAAAAAAAGTGAGTTTTCAAAATTACAAAAATATAATCATTTTAATTTTTGCAAGGAAATAATGACCCATATACATCTAAATACAATAAAGAAGTATTTTGCATACTTTAAATTTGTTTTTACCGGCGTTCAAATGTTACAATTATTTGTCTTTTAAACAAACAAAAGACTCCTTCCGTTTTCATGGCTTACTTCCCTTTAATCCAGTTTTTTAATGTTCAAATCGAGTTCAAATATTTCTATATCTAGGGAACGAATCACTTCTATAATATCAAATACAAAACTTCAAGTGTTAGAGTTCAAATGTAAGAATTGTTTTATCCCTTACACCAAATCTTGACTATGATCCTGCGTAATTGTAGACTTTGCTCATAATTTAATACAATTTACATAAACTTACTACAAAGTAAGGATAGTATTTTACGTGCGCATTTTCCAAATTACCAATTGTTTAACGCAATAAACTTTTGTCCCATCAGAAACGGTACCCATTATTTTACCCACGCTAATCAATTTAATTTTTTATAATTGCCAAAAAAATATTTTGACTGAACTTTTAATTTGAAGATTGTCTTCATTTTAACCTCCCCCGATTTCCCGTCCGAGTGAGAGCACTTTTTCGTAAAAAAAATTATGCACGATTCACACCAAATTAATTTAATTTAATTAATTAATTAAATTTAATTTAGTTCCTAATTTAATTTAGTTTAATTTAGTTTTAATAAAGTTTTTAAAATTACAAAAAATATCAAACTTTCAATTTCGGAATTCGGATCCAAATCCAACCTGTATCTACAAATACACTAATCACAATGTATCTACCAATAAAATTTTTTACTGGTGTTAAAATGTTACAATTATTTGCCCATTAAACGAAAAAAATGCTGCCCTTTTCATCGACTTACTTACTTGTCTTTTATGCAATTTTTATGAAATATTGTGCAAATCGTGTTTAAATATTTTTATGTGGAGGAAACAAATCTCTTCGAACTCGAGGAAGTTCTTGAGAAATTTACAAATCAGAGCATAGTTCTATTTTATTTTCTCTCTGAATGAGTGGGCGAAATTGGAGCCTCCAACGAGACCAGAATTGGAATTCCAAACCGTAAAAATTAAAAAGTCTTGCAAATCTTTACATAATAAAGTTTCTACAAAATGTACAATTTTTAAACGATAAAATTTCGACTTAAAAAATGCATCGATAACTTTGCAAAATGTTTCATAAATTGGGTAACTTTTTAATTGCACCACTTCATCTAAAACTTTATTATCCCTGTCATAACTTTGGAAGGAAAACCTTATCCTGTGTTAACATCAACAATTTTTTGAAAAATGTTCAATTTTTCAAATTTTGCACAACTGGGTAGAAATTTGGTACTAAATTCGGCAACTCAGAAAATTGTACAAAATTTTTACAACTATTTCGAAAGGAAATTCGCTTCCAAATTTTTATATAATTTTTATTTTTATTTTTATTTTTTGCTCAGATCTTTTATTTTGTAAAACTTTTTTTTTTTAACAAGGGCAAAATTAATTTTATTCCAATTTAAGTACATTTCATATCAAACTATTAAAATAAATATTAATTAATATGTTGAGGCGACGTCTTCAAAACAGGACTTAACTTTTTGGCCGTCAGGGGTAGGAACTACCCCTGACGGGGTAGTTCATAAAGTTCCTAAAAAAATTTTCAAAGTTTTTTGTAAAACTTTGAAAAATTATTTTACGAAACGCGCAGATTTAACAAAGTTATCAAGGACTGCATAAATTGCGTCTTTAATTCTGCACAAGTTTGAAACTTGAAGTTTCAAAATATTTATTATTTTTAGTGACATCAAATGGTTGTAATTATTTCTAAAACATGTCCAGCTTTTTTAAATTTCAGTTTAGAAATCTGACCAATTAAAATTCCCAAATGGAGTGTTTTTAATTCTAAAACTTTTTATCGTTTAGAGACAAAAGGACAGGGAAGGAATTCCTAATTCATATTACTTTCAAAGACTTACACATTGAGGGTATTCATTTCTACTTCGCATCGTTACTAACGTTCGCAAAAAAATAAAGTTCGCAAAAAAATAAAGTTCGCAAAAAAATTTGGCTTGCGAACTTGCGCATCTCTAAGGCTAGTATTTAGTTCGCAAAATATTTTTCACGAATATGGAAAATTTTACAGAGGGAAAAAGCCATATATCTTCATTAGTTAACGAAGTTTTGCCTCTGAAATTTGTTAATTTCAGAGGCTGACTAATGAAAATTCCAATTGGAAAATTCGAAACATTTGAACCAAATTTTTTTGAACCAAACTTTTTCATTTGCCAAGTGTCTTCATTTCGTTGCTTCGCAAAATTCGCAATTTCGAAAAAGTTATGTTGCGATGCGAACCTGCAAACCATGAGGGTATTTCAACAGTTTTATAATTATTTTTAGTGACGCGAATATTGTGCCAATAATTTATTTCAAGTTTAAAGTTATCCAACTTCGTTTTAGAAATTTGTTCAACTAAAATTCCAAAATGATAATTTTGGGAAAATTTTAAAGACGAGGTATAATGGAAAGATAAAATTTCCGAGTGTCAAATCGTAATTTTATAGGAATGCAGTAAATTTAAAGTAATTTCAAGATATTACACACATTTTGTAATAACATCTTGTAAAAGAAGTGATATTTTTTTAATTCTAAAACGATTTATTATTGATAGACGTGGCAGGAAATAAATGGTAGTTCAATTTATCTTGTTTTAATTTCCAAAATTTTCCACATTATTTCAACAATTTTCCAATTATTGTTAGGGTCAAATTTACCCGAAAACTGTTTTTGTTTTGTAATTCATTTTAATTTTTTAATTCTCCAATTTCTTTGTAGGAAATTGACAAACTAAAATTCCGAAATGGAAATTTTGTAAAAAATTAAAAAGAAGTATAATTTAAAGATAAAATTTTTGGAATGACGCCTGCAACAAATTAATAAAGTATTTTCAAGATGTTACACCCATCTTACATTCATCTTGTAATAAAGTCCTGTAAAATCCTGTAATTTATAGATTTGACAGGAAAAAATTTTCCAAAATTTTACACATTATTTCAACAATTTTATAATTATTGTTAGGGAAGAATTAACCCAAAACCTGTTTTTTGTAATTTAGTGTATGAAGTGAGACCTTCAACTTTACTTTGGTTGTCGCAACCAAATCTACATTATCTACTTGCCCGAGACAGGCAATCTAATAATTTACATTATCATTAGTTGTTAAGTTCGGTTGATCTCTGAGATTGAGATCAAACCTACACATTAGTTATTAGTTAGTTTAGTTAGTTAGTTAGTTAGTTATTATTTACATATTAAGCGAGCCGGTCCCCTATAAAAGGACGAGCTCCAGCCCAACTTGGGATCATTCGGTTTGCAACCGTGACCGTTGCGACAACAACAACCTCCATGCAACCGAGACGGTTGCATACTTAATATATGTATGATCACTAACACTCCCATTTCCTTGAGCATGAGATTTGCTCCCGTGACGCCTGGGACGGGCAGATGGGTTTCCTTATATTTCGGAAACTAACATTATGATTATTTCGGATAGTATGTAAGCAATATGAATGATGCTTAATTAGAAATAAAACTTTATATTTTCATTATTTAACAAAACTCCCACTGGTTATCCTTCATTTCTTTTTCGTAAGGTTGTTTCCAAACAAAACCCCTTACAAGTGTAATTTTTAAATTCTCCAATTTCTTTTTAGGGATTTGACAAACCAAAATCCCGAATGGAAATTTTTCAAAAATTTGAAGTGAAGTGGTTATTTAAAGGTTAAACCTACGTGAAATTGGGGATAATTAAAACATAATTAAATTTTTACACTCATCTAGTAAATTGTCTGGCATCCTTAAATTTTGTAAATTTTCAAACTTTTACAAATATTTTAAAGGAAAATTAGCTTACACGTCTTTGTAAACTTGTTCAAACGAAGGGCGTCTCTTTATTTTTGTAAACTTTTTTTATAAAACTTAAACATAAATAATTGCTGGCATATTTTTAGGCCTTTTAAGATGGCCTTATAGATTTGTCAGGATGTCTGTCTGTCCGTCCGTCTGTCTGTACGCACGATAACTCTCTTTAAACACATTCTATCGACTTGAAATTTTGTACACTTGATCTTCGGGTCAAAAGTAAGGATGAGTTCGAAGATGGGCATGATCGGTCAAGTGGTTGGCCGGTGGGGGCCATTCCCAAATGTGTTGCCATTAACTACCATGATGGCATTAATGCCATCTTAAAAGGCCCCGCAAAGTTGCTTGGAGTAGGTTTTTAATTTGTGCGCAATGAAAGAGGCAATTCACGAAGTCCTTGGTAACTTTGTAAAGTATGTAAGCCTTATAAAATAATTTTATAAACTTTAAAAAACTAAGAAGCTGTTCAAAGTAAGTTTACAACAATTTGAAAGCTAATTTTCTTCATGAATATTTGTAAATTTACAGAATTTACGGATTTTACAAGTTATCAATGCCTGCGTGAACGTTATTTTTTTAAACTTTGTAAATTTAATAACTTTTATCCCATCAGAAACGCTGTCCATTTTACCCACGCTAAATAATCCAACTTTTTACAATTCTAAAAAATTCTTGACCTAATTTTGAATTCTAAGATTGTCACTATTTTAACCTAGTTCGATTTCCCATCTTAGGAGTGAGAGCACTTCCTCATAGCAAAATTCACGATTCACGTCAAATTCAAAATTTGCTCGATGTAGAAATAAAAAAATAAGTTTTCAAAATTACGAAAAATATTATAATCTGTATTTTTATAAGAAGACCATACACATCTACATACAAAAAGTATGAATGTATTTTACGTCCATACTTCAATTTTGTTTTTACTGAGGTGGTGGCTCAAATATTATAATTATTTCTCTACTAAAGGAAAAACAGTCCTGTCTTTTCGTAGGCTTACTTGCCTTTAATCCAATTTTTGTATGCAATTATGTTCAAATCGAGTACAAATATTGTGATTGCTTCGATCCAAATACAAAAATAATATTAAATACAAAGTTTTTCTGTGCGGAAAAAAATAACTTTTCGAAATTACAAAATATCATAATTTTAATCTACCGATAAGTAGAAGTTATCATCTTGAAATGCGAAAAATTAAATATTCTTCCCTCAAAACTTTTTTACTGGCGTTTAAATCTTCAAATATTAACCAAGATTTCGAAAATTGCCATCTCCCGTCTGAGTAAGAGCAATTTTTCATAGAAAATACAATTCAAGTTCAAAAAATTGTTCACGTGCAGAAATAATTTTTTTTCAAACTTTCACAAAAATTTCATAATCTAAATTTTTTAAAAACAACAAGTTCAGATCTAAATAAGCATAAGTCGTATTTTACATCCTTCAAAATTTTTTTTACTGGATTTCAAATGTAACAATTATTTTCTCATTAAGCGATTTTCCATGGGCTTCCTTTTTATCCAATTTTGTATGCAATATTCTTTACCCTGCATACACACGCACCGGAAGTGGAACCACGCCGAATAATAGGAACAATAAATAAATATGCTCAATTTTTCATATTAAATGAATCAATTAAACACGCACAACCACATTTTTTTAACGCACTTAAAAAATATCAAATTTATTATCCTTGGCGAGACTAGAAACGCACATATTTTGACATTTCATTTTAATAACGAGAATAATAAACCATACATTTAAACAACAATTAATATAATAATAATCAAAAGTCAATTATTAATTAGTAATTAATTAATCAATTAATTAACTATTAAATTAATCCCAAAACAAAAATGTATCTTATCTGAAAAATTTATACCAAGCAAAAAAAACAAGTCAGAGATAAGGTCAGTATCTTATCTACAATAATAATAGTAAAAAAATCCCTCCTACTAAATTCAACTCTTCTCAGTTTAATTAAATCATTATTCATTAATTAGAAAACACCTCCTTAATTAATTAATTAATTAAATGATTAATTAATAATTAACCGTGTATACATACATTACAACTGCTACCACTAATTTTCTATCTATCTAAGCACGTGTACAAAAAGCCAAAAAGCGTCAAAGCACCCAACAAATACCGTCGGTTTTTCGTCACCTCTCTTCTCAAATCCAAATTCACACACTTGACAACATTTAAATACACATTTAAATTTAATTATAATCTTAATTAAATCTTCACTCAGAGATTTTTTCTTTTGTACAAATCTTTTCTTATCCAAGCAAAATCCAAGGATTACAAATTACAAGTTACACTACTTAACTGTCCCAGATTTGGAATTGAGATTCGCAAAAATCTCTTATAAATCTAGAAATACGATTTTATTTCACTCTCTATCCGTCAAGATATGGATCAAAATTACGGTAATAATATCGGCTACTCGCTAATTTTTCGATCTATACATACATATTTTTATAGCCCCATGAATACATACGTACATATGTTGTTGTCGACTTATCATCTCGAATTTAAGTCTTACAATTAATTACTGGCTTAGTAATTACTTAATTTATAAGGAAAAAAATTAGTCAAATATTTATTTACGTCATTAAAAATGTAGCTCACTAAATATTTACTTTACGCACTTTTGTAATGTAATAATGACGATTCTTCATCTCCTGATCAATTATCATTTAGGAACTTCAGTCTCAACGTGAGTGAGGAGATTCACGTTGAAAGTAGTAATTAATTAGTTAATTAATTACAATTATTATGTATGTAAGAGAGAGAAACTAGAATTCTACACATTGTCACCTTAAAAACTAGAGGTAAGATTGTAGATATTTTGATATACATAAATTCAGAGCAGCTAGAAGACTAAATTTTGATGTGGATCTCGTAAATCGCGATTGTTTCTGCAAAAAAACTACTCGCACGTCTTATTTAGTTCAAAATGCCAAAAAACGATCTTAAAAATCCTCCCCGAAAATGAGATTCCTCCAAAAATTGACAATTTACGAGATTTAAAATCCGGTACACAAATTATCGCTCCTTAATCAATTAATTAGTATTAATTAGTCAAGCATTAATTAACTATGAATAATTTAATTACATGAAATAATACTAATATGGCAGCTGCTGTCAGACCAACTCATATTTACTCAAGTCGTGTCCATCAATTATAAAATAAAACTTAAACTTAACATTTTTTCGTCAATTAAATTAATTAATTATAGCTAAATTAGATATTTTCGAAAAAATGAAATTGGATTTTGATATGTTTAACAAAAAACAGAGAAAAAAATGTCAAAAATAATATCCTACAAAATTCCGACTCGTAATTTTCTACTCGTCGTCGTCATCCTCGCAGAATCGGGCGCGCCGCTGGAGCGCTTTCACTTTTTCTTGCCAGTCATCCTTCAAAACAAAATAATAAAAAAAGTTCAAAAATAATGTTTCTATATCATTATTATTGTAATAGTTAGCATGATATAGTCCTTCACATACCTTCCATTCGATGACGACGGAGGATTTTCCCGCCATGAGGCCGGGTTGACCGTCCATGTGCTCATTCCCCATGATAAGGTAGGGCTTATCCACCTTCAGTTTGGGACACTTGCAGACCAAATCTTCCATTCGGACCCAGAGGAAAGCGGAACCACGGCGGATTCGAGAATCCATAGATTTCTTAAAAATTCCGAGAATATTCACGGTAAAGCGGGCCCATTCGTCGATCGTTTCACGGGTTAAGACTTGCACCATGACGGCTGCAAAGAGAAAATAAAATAGGTTAAGTCAGGTTTCTATTTTAAATGAGGCATTTTACGGTAGCCATGAATTAAAAAAGTAAAAATCTTATAAAGAAACCGACACAAGTTAAAAAAACCGATAGCAATCTGAGATTTATTTTCGTAATATACAAGATTTGTAAACAACACAAAATTGGCGTTAAATCCTTTCTGTTTTCATGAATGTTACTAAACATTTTTGAAAATCGGATTGGAAGTTTAAATTACATGTTAAAAAGCTTGAGACATTTCACGTCAGCTTTCGTAAGTCTGTAACCGCGTAAACCTACGAAAATCAGCTTACGAACGAATGAAAACATGTCTGTTATCTTCGTAAGGTTTTGTAAGTTCGTAAGCAACGAGATGTTCCTAAGTTTACGCGGTTACGAAGTGAATTACCACAATACTAAACGATACAAATTGACCGATTTTATTTTACATAAAACTATTTATATGAAATTGTACTGTATTAATATGCTGAATTTTTGGTAGGATATTACGCGGACTTATGTACCATTATGTTGCAAATTTTTACTAAATAAAAAGACCCAGTGGATAAATTATTAATCAAATTTAATATTTAGTAAGAGATTGACGTCGTATTCATATTATTTGCAAAATCTCCTATAACTAAAATATATTTGTAGATTCTTCAACTCGTAATTCGAATGATTCGTTCGTTCCAAAAACATTTTTTTTGTATGAATTATGTACAACGGTGTCTGATGATAAATTGATACCGAAATTATATTGAGGCAATTCACGCAGTGTTTGGTAGTATTTTAAAATCCGTAAATTCTGTAAACTTTTACAAATATTTCGAAGGGAAATTAGCCTACAAATGTTGGGAAACTTAATCAGATCAAGGGCGTCTTTTTTCAAATTTATACATTACATAAATTTAAAATATGCGTCTATAACAGGGTTCGGAAAAACCCAGGGTTTTAATCAAAAAGTAACGACCCAGGGGTTTTAATGGGTTTTTTGGGTTTTAATGGGTTTTATTGGGTTTTATTAGGTTTTACATAAGCAATACATTGAACAACAATTTTCACTACTATTGCAATCCAATTTCAGTTAATATGCAAATCCTCCTTGTCCATGTTAGAATTTGTATCCGTTTCGAAATGGTCCTATTTAACTGATCATAATCTAATACTTTATGTGACCATAATTAATTACATATATTACCTTTTTCTCGAATGCTTCCTCTCATCATAATGAAATCCAAGTTGTTTAAACTTTTTAAAATTTAATATTTCAATGCGATCTTAACGTGTATTATCAATTCTGGAAAAAATCGAGTACTTATGGAACAATGAAACTTATGGAACAACAAAAGTACGTATGTATTATGATCAGGAATATAATAAGTGATTTTTACAGACACACTTCTTTTGCTCATAATAAAGTACTTCGTTGTCCATAAGTACTCGATTTTTTCAGAGGTGATAATTAAGATCGCCTTGAAACATTTTAAAAAACTTTATAAATTAAAAAAATACTATAGTATTTTGTTTAATTTATTCGCTGAGATGAGAGGAAGTATTCGGGAAAAAAGTATTAATTATGACAGCAAAATGTAAATTAAATGTAATTAAATTATGTATGCTCAGTTAAACATACCTCGTTCCGAAATTATTTTTTATTTATTTTTTGTCACTTGAAACCTGTAATGGCACTCGCTGATTTATTCCTGGTTTTCAAAACTTACAGTATTAATCAAATAGACTGCTAGCTGCCATAAAACAACTTCGTCTAACGTATGACAGCTGTTTTCAGCTTTTAGAATATAGTTTTAAGCTGAAACACAGTTAAAACCCATTAAAACCCGAATAAAACCCAAATAAAACCCATTTAACATGGTAAAACTCAATGGGTTTTATTCGTTAACAACCCATTAAAACCCATTAAAACCCAACCCAATAAAACCCTGGGTCGGAATACCCTGGTCTATAAATGTTTGTGTCATAACGTTATCAGTAGTAGAAAACTCAAGCAGTTAATCTACATAAACAACCTTCCCGACATATTTTTGCGTTCTGATTCACGCAGAAATTTGTAAACTTTGTACACCGATATTGCAACTTTTTAAAAAAGTAGTAATTTCTGCCATTATACAGATTATAATATGAAACGGACCCTGATTTTTTTTGCTACAATAATGTTTTCTAAAATTCTTCTGAAATTTTTAAAATTTTTGTTAAAATTCTTCAACGTCCTATAAGTCCTATCAAATCCTAAGTTTAGGATTAAGAGTACAAATATCCGAGTGAGTTTATAATATAATTCAAATTCACACACGCACGTAGATAAATTTTATGTCATTAGTACATCGATTAGTTTACAAATTGGTACCCAATTAAAACCGTCTTTAATTAGGCACCTCTTCTCTCTCATAAACAAAGCATTCCCCAAATTTCCATAACTTACAAAATTTCCATACATGCACACTTTACAAATAAACCTCATTCATGGTACATTTGTACATACGTAACTACATTTCCTCTCATCTTAGCTCATTCCATTCCACACAAATCATACCTCAGAACTGGAGACACGTAATTAAAATGTAAATTATCTTTCAGCACTTTAAAGAAATTAACAAAACTCCAGTCTCCACACTTGTTGCTCTAAATGGGTTCCGCATGCAAATTAGTGAAAATATATTAGGCATGCCCGGCACGTGTTTTCCGTAAATATTTTCTTCCTCTACATGGTCACCATCACATCTTTATCCAATCCAGTCCACCGACGAGGAGGCAAAATAAGGACCAAATACGGCATAAAATGAGATGTTCATTCACTTCTGAGGACTCCATTTCCTGTCTGACATGAGAAAACAAATCAAGAAAAAGATGGTAATCTATGCCACCTTTTTTATTCACTCGTCGTAAGTTTCTGGACAAGCAGGCAGAGTAAACGTTATCTAATCTTGTCCACTTGGCACTTTTTCCTACCTGAAACAGAGTGACGCTCCATTTCCCCCATTTCTCATTCCATCCAACCAAACCATCAAATCAAACCACCACTTTTGTTTGAGAAATGCTCGGAATGCAAACTATACATGTACGCACTGTAAATAATGCGGGAAAACAATTGTCGCTAAATAATTAGTCGAATTAAAATTATTAAAATTAAAATTGGTTAACAAGCTAGAATAAATTTCTTTAAAAAAATTCTGTGAAATCAAACTAATTTAAATTGAAAATAATGCAAAATCTCCCGTGTCGTAAATCCGGTTTAATTTTTGATGAGGCCACTTTCAAATTGAATTTTACCATGATTTCCTTAACAGCGATTTACAAAATTGCACATTTGTTACCACGTTGGAATCAATAAGCTTGAAATTTTTGGGATAATTACACAAGCAGGATTTTGTTACCATATTATTTAAAGTGTAAAGTTATATTTACATGGATCCTCTTCTCTCCATCATCAATTATTTACGCAGCCAACAATACGAGAACAAAAGCATGGATGGATTTGCTTTACTTCCAGTGGTCCTTCTAATACAAAACTGATTCAGAACGGGAGGAAACGAGGGAGTGAAAGCGTATTTCCTGATCCGATTTACCCCACTCTATATAATAACGTGGTAACAATCTACTCTATACCGGAACAGAAACTAGCCTAAGCTCGTGGGAACACGTGTGTAAACTTACAAATTTAAGAGATTCTTCATGAAAATGGAGGTGAAAATTTATTTTGCAAAGTTTTTACAAAACTTAATACGTGGTCAATTTTAAAATTATAAATTTCCTAAATTTCGACATAATTATCACACGCGATCAAATGTTACAAAATTTACACCGTTACAAAGTTAGCTTCTCTAATAAAACATTTCCAATATTTGTAAACTGTGCAATTATTTGTAATATTTTCTAAATGAAGAGTCATTTCTGTAAGTAGATCAGAGTAAAAACGTTGAAGCCAATTCACTCAGATATTTGTAGTCCAATAATTTTTATAACTACGTAAAAACCCGATGTCGTAACCCTTACAAACTTATTCCTACAAAATTACAAAGTTACAAAAATATCCCGGATTCTCTGACGAAATTCAAATTTAAAAAAATCATTACTGTCCTGTCATAAAACTGATAAGAAATGTAGTTGCACAATTTAACTTCTACATAGTAGGATTTAGTTCATCTATGCTAATCATTTGTTTATTTTATTATTTTAAAAAAATCATCAGAGCCGTCCAACTTGTAACACAATTTTTGGAATGAAAGTTTTTTTTACATGAATTTTATACCCTATTTTATCTTTCATTAAGCACGACAATTCACGCAGTTCTGGGTAACTTTGTAAAATCAGTAGACTTATAAACTTTTCCAAATACTTCTAAAGAAATTAACTTGCAAATTTCTACAAAATTACTCAGATAAATGGCGTCTCTTTATTTTGTAAACATTATTTTACAAAACTTACGAATTTTACAAGTTACCAAGCACTGCGTGAATTACCTTAATACCACAATTTTACACAGTTCACAAACATCCGCCGAATGCATTTCACCCGAAATTATTCAGAGTGCGGTACAAATCCATGGTGTACTTTAAGGTAAAAGGTTCCGCCGTCCCGAGGGAGTCGGTCATCGTAATTGCCTCCTAAGCACATTTCAGTCCTCTCCAAAACACTAAATCCGAATCCAAAAACCGGCCACCAAAACCAAACCAGAATTTATTCATTCCCCTCTCTCCCGTCCCGTCCTTTGCTTATTTACACCCAACAAATTGCCTAATGTGGACAAAAACACGGAAATTTATCTCATTTTCATCCCTAAATTTATTAACTGTCCTGTACAAAATTAGGGAAATTTTACCCCCCCAAAACGGTGCGTAAATAAATAGCCCAACTAATTTATAACTGTTCAAATTAATCCTCAATATATGTATATAGGCAAAAAAGAAAGCTTAATACATATTTCCCCCATGCAACTTTCTCTTATCTCCAACACTACGAAAACCCACG